AGGAGCAGTCGCGACACCTTAATAGGTTGTGGCACACATTTTGATACAGTCAGAATTTTCAATCAAGATGCAGCTAGCAAAAGACAATTTCGGAAATTTTTCAACAGACAAGCCTAAAAATATCGTTAACACTTCTGTTGAAAATTTTCTTAAGCACTTTTAATTTTGGTGCTTCTTCCCGCCTCACTGAATCTTAAAAATCATTGTGCATATAATAACAGCACGGAATAGTCTTGTATGACTTATCTTTCCCTACCTACTCTCACTCGAACTCACACTTATATTTATCGTGAACTAAGCACGTTTAGAGTAATTAATTTACTTATTGGGTTCTTTTAAACAGTGTTCATAAAAATAAGAATAATGTTATTATTGCTACTTTACTTCTCCGCAGGTCATTAATATTTTTATATCCATTTTTAAAATGCACGTATACAACTAATTTCGGCCGTTTCAAGTATTTTATATTTTTCAGATTTAAAATACAAACGCCAAAGTGTTGCTTGCGATAAGACGTACGAAAACGCTGAAATAAAACAACAGATTTTGAGTAATTACAAAAAAAATATAATAACTACTGTAGAATAGTAAATATAAGTACAGTATGTAAGCATTAATTTTTAAGTGTAACATAAAAGGTAAATATTTTCGCACATGATCTATTTCTGCGATAAGTTACAAACATAAAAGTCAAAGGCAATCACAAACAATACGTCACGTACATAAATATTTAACCGAAAGCATGCCATTATTAATTCACAAAATCTATTAAACTCTATTAATAGAATATGTAAATATTTTATTAATAGAGTTTAAAATTCATTCCGAATTGAAAAATTTGTTCTTTCAAATAGAGTAGAAAGTTTTGTAAAATATTAATTTGCATTACAAAATAAATTAATTCGCTTAGTCGTATGTAGGGAGATTAAAAAATTTCAAGCTGGGGGGCACCCGGGTTTGTGCCGGGGACCTCTCGACCTGCAGTCGAATGCATTACCATTGTTTTATTTTTTATTTTTCCTTAATTTGACATGGTCGTGACATTTGATATTGACGAAGCTCTAGTGAGACCTGTCCTGTAGACAGAGTCCCTAGGCGACAAGCGAACTGAAAATCTGCCGCATCAGGGATTGCCGGGGCGCGAACCCGTGACCCCCCGACTGCAGGTCACCCTACCCCTGAGCTATGGAGGTATATTCATCAATATAAGAAACAAGAAAGCGTATACCACTGAGCTATACCCCCTTCATACAGGTGAAGGGCTTTGCAAGTATGGTATTTTTTAATTCAGTACGATTTCTTGTTTCTTATATTGAGTACATATTTCGCATTATCGATCTGTACAGAAATAATTGACAAAATCTTACTGTGTGTGGCACGTGGCACGAAGAAGGGAAATTATTTCATTCTAAGTGCTGTAGCTGGGATTCGTATTTTAGGCAACGTCCACAATCTCTACGCTCTACATCTGGATTAATGAACAAATTTTTAAGTTTTTATGAATTAAATATATTCTTCACCAAATAAAATTGTGGCATAACAAAAATTGTTGCAGTGGTTTTTCCGAAAAAAAAAAAAAAAAAAGATGCCTGGTTATAAAACAAATGTCTGGCAAATTTAGACTTACATTGTTTGCCTGCATTACATTAGGGCAATTTAAAAAAAACACTACTTTTCGTACGTGTACTTGTTTCTGAAAAAAACAATTTTTTTTTAAATATAAGTTATTGTTTTAGATATCAATATAACTGAATGGATTAGGCATATACAATGGGTATCAATTTTCGAATAGGGTTTTATAACAAACACTTAAATCTGCCAAGGATACCAATGCACATCAGTCTCTGTTAAAAATATCTAACATACAATTTTACATCGCGTAAACAGTTTAACTCAATTTGAGCAAAATACGATAGATAAGAGATTTCCTGTTGAAGTGAATGAACTCACATAACTCGCGTGTAAATGGCTAGGAGATAGAATAATTAATTTGATTTAGCTCAAACTAAACAATAAAACTGTTAAGATTTATAAATTATTTGTGTGGATATTTTATCTTCTGTTTTGCCATTAATATGAAGAAGAAAGAGCAGGGGTCAAATAATTTAGCTTTTTAAAACCACCGTGCTATCCCTCCCTCCCTCCATAAAAACAAAATCACACTGTTATACTTTGGGATTTATCACTGTTGATAAGATTATTAAAGTAGTAAGTTAGAAAAACCGTCAGTATACCGTTTAGATAATTTATTAATCATTTAATCTCACATTAATTCAATGAACTTAATATTCAGATCAATTAATTCAATATTAACTCAACATTAGTTCAAAGTCTGATGGACGGTTCCGATCCTCAAGCAGTATTGGCTTAAGCGGGGACTACAGTAACACCTTACTAAAGGCTGCTCACGGTAAAATTAGCAGTTTTGAAAGCCCTGCTTAAGTTCTACTTGTATGCACGATGTGTCTTCTTCCGCCTTATGTAAAATTATCATTACCATGTGTTTCATCACTTTATTCATGCCTCGGCTAAGTGAAACTAGAAAATAAGAGAGTAACTAGAAAGTAAATATTTTACAAATCTGCTCATTTTTACACTTCGATGCCTGAAAAAAAAAAAACAGAAAGCGAAATAATTATTTTTAAGGTGTCACAAATAGTTACCTGACACTTTTTATTCGACGTTAATATAGGGAACTGCTTTCCATTCATCGTTACCAACTTTACTGGATGAATGTCACTTAGTGGGCCCACTAAAATATATGAATCCAGGGGCAGTGGTTTTCTTCTGTGGTTAATTTCTAAAGTGCTCACTTTATCGTGAACGGCCTTCACCCAGGCTGATCAGATCGACTCACCATTATATTAACTACATTTATTCTCAAGGAAGGCCAGTGGACGGTGGCGTCTAAGCTTCCGATCCTCGCCGTCAGCAGGTGGGTATGTCCGTCCAACGTCATCCGTACAACTAGAAACAGTCTGCGTCATCGTGTTTCAGGTGGGGACTGTCCAACATTGATTTAAAGATTTAAGACGTGAGGTGTTCATAATTTAGAATGTAATAATAAGTTAATACCAGTTACAGTAGCTTCCCGTTACAGTTAAATATTACAGTGTTGTATTGTCTGTGTCACATAACATGATTTAAAACTCCTCATTAACAGTATGCTCTACCAGCTATCATTCATCTATTAGCTACAACCCCTAAAACAATTAATTTATTACTATGGCCGCAAGGAGTAATCATAACAACAGCAATACCAAGGATTGCGTTTCCTTCGATACATACTTGTGGCTGTCAGCCCAGATGTTACGGAACGATAGAGTTTTTCATTTTATCTTCACTGCATAATAATTTTAAGTTGGCTTCTGTACTCTTTCCAGAATCTGATAAGATTTTGTAGATAAACTAAACGAGTATTTACTAACTTCAACTGCGTTTTATATCGACAGCGACATTTTGTCGCTGAGATTATATTTAATACTTAGAGATTTGTTTTAGAGTATCCATGCCTAACCCTTTTTAATCTATGTCTTCCATGGTTTACATCCAAGTAGTAAACTATTGAAGTTTGTAGTATCATGATAACAATCAATTTGTTATTGAAAAGCATTGGCATACTGTGCCAACGTAAATGTTGTCATTGATTATCTGTGTGATTCCTTCATTTCTGATTGCAATATTAATTATATTTCCAGACGTAAAATATTGAGAATATTTTTTAATAACCAATAGTAACGACACGACCCAAAATTATTTCTGTTTTGAAGCTGTATGTTAATTAAAGGATATTTTAAATAATTTTGTTTGATTGTCACAAGATTCAGTGTGTAGTATTTCAGTGAAATTTTCTAGCATGTAAATTTCTGCCTCATGATGGGCATGATTTGTCTTTTGTTTTTCAATTACGGTTTATTACTGTTATCAGGGGTTTTCCAGCTACAGCGGGGAAGTGATATTCTGCAAAAGTTAAACGAACATCAGTTTATGCCTGTATTTCAATAATAAAAAATAATAAAGCTCTCAAAGGTTATTATTCCTTAACAATATCGTATGTTATTAATGTTCGATCTCACATGACTTATGAAATTATTTCACACGAAGGAAAGATAGGCGGGTATTGACAGCTTTTGTTTAAGTAATTGAGGTAAGAGATATAAAGTAAAATACTTTATAAAATATGTATGAAAGAAACAACATCTGGAAACTTTAATTATATAGAATAATCGTGTGTGAAGCTTGAAACTAAAGCTGGTGAAAGATCTATGGCAACATTAATTTTAATTCTAAAATATGTGTACATATTGACATCTTTTTTGCACATTAAAATTACAAATTACAGGGACGAAACGAACATATATCGTACTATAGATTTATTTAAAAGTGTATAAGTAAAATTCTAAGTATTTTGGTTTAGTTTCGTGAAGTTCTTAATGACTCCAGCATATAAAACTATTGTGCTAAATTTAGTAAAAATATGTAAACCAATTCTCCAGTATTTACGTATAAAAATTCGAAGCCACTATGAAAAAAAAACGAAATGATAAGAGCTTATGCCGTAGGTATTGAGAATGAATGTGCAATAAAAAAAATTTAATTAATACTGTAGAATAGTAAATATAAGTAAAGTAAGTTAGTATTTATTTTTAAGTGTAACAGAAAATGTAAATATTTTCGCACATATCATATTTTTTGCGGTGAGTTAGAAACATAAAAGTTAAAGGCAATCATATACAATACGCCACGTACATAACTATTTAACCGAAAGCATGCCATTATTAACGCACAAAAATGTATTTAACTATGTTAATAAAATATGTAAATATTCTAATAATAGAATTTAAAATTCATTCTGCATAGAAAAAAAATGTTCTTAAAAATAAAATAAAAAAAAAAAAAAAAAAAAAAAAAAAAAAAAATATATATAGAATATTAATTTCCATTCGTGAACAAATTAGGTCGTTCAGTTGTATGTAGGGCGGATTGCAGAATCTCAAACTAGAGGGCGCCCCGGTTTGAGCCAGAGACCTGTCGATCTGTAGTCGAATGCTCTACCACTGAGCTATACCCCCTTCGCGCAACCCACGGGCTTTGCGAGGAGGAGTATTATTTAAATTCACTGACATTTGTCTGGAATATACCTTTCCATATTAAATAAAATAATATTAAAACGTTTTAATAAAATCTGACATGCTCAAAATAAATTGAAGATGGGTAAACATAATTATATTTAACACTGAATGTAATAAATAACATATTCTTAGAGTTACTATCTTAAAAATATAAATAGTTCCTTTGCTTACATTTCAGGTGTGAGAGAGTACCTCGCACCTACAGCGCTATAATTTGCCTGAAAACTTCTGTCAGTTACTTCCTGCTGTGAAAGACACACAAATTACATAATTGCTCACATCCGCAAATCAAATAATTTATGTTTAAAACATGTGTGAATTGCGTTAAAATATCTACCAAATTGCGACGTAATTTGTGCGTTTTTTCATTGTTCAGTGTAAGATAATTATACACATTGTAGACACGTGACTGATTCGGAATTTTTGGATCAGAATCTTTGTTTTATATATATATATATATATATATATATATATATATATATATAACAGTAGTAGTATAGAAATGCCGATTCAAGCGCAGCCCCAAACCATCAGAAAGCCAACGGCAAATTGAATGCTCAAGCCATCAGAAAACCATCAGAAAACATTTCCGTTGTTTTCCTGATCCAAAACATCAACTGCCGATTCGAGAGCAGCCGCAAAAAAAGTGACTGCAAAAGTTGCGTTTGGGAACAGCCTCCAGTTATCAGAAAACCAACGGCAAATTAAATGCACAAGCCATCAGAAAACATCAACTGCCGATTCGAGTGCAACTGCAAAATAGTGACTACAAAAAGTTGCATTAGAGTGCAGTTGCAAAAAGTGACTACAAAAAGTTGTATTTGGGAGCAGTTGCAAAAAGTGACTACAAAAAGTTGTGTTAGAGTGCAGTTGTAAAATGTGACTCCAAAAAGTTGCGTTTGGGAGCAGTTTCAAAGAGTGACTATAAAAAGTTGCGTTTGGGAGCAGATGCAAAGAGCGACTCAAGAAATTTGAATACGTAAAAAATAAAATATTGTACATAATTAATGAGCGCAAATAAAAATCAACCGACGTCTAATATGATGACGACCATGGCAATGAAAAAGGCTAACATAACTGGTAATGATTGGAAACAATATCAGTTAAAGAAAGATGTCTTTGCGAAAAGAAAGAAGAAGAAATCTCAAGAGAAGTATGCCAAGTGTGAAACTTGTAAACACTTTTACAAACCGTCTCTCATAAGAAACTATCTTAAAAGTAGATTGCACATAGGTCTTACACCAATACATAATAAACCACATGAACCAACAAATGCATGGGAAATTTTTAAAGTGCCACAACACTTAATATCAAAACAGAAGTTCCCACGAGAGAAACAAGTGAAATGTGAAACGTGTAGCCACTATTACAAACTTTCTCTCATAAGAAGTCACATGAGAAGTAAAATTAATAAGTACACACCCATATTCAGTGTAGAAGAAATCGAAACAGCATTTCAAAGTAGGATCAAGACTTATGCTGTAAAGAATATGAATGCATACAAAGACCCAAAAAATTTCCTAAACTATTTAAAAGAAACTGTCACGGGATTAATTAGTAAACATTCAAAATCATTCAAAGTGAACATGAAATTCTTCACTGAGTACAAAAGGGGAATTGGTGAGAATATTGAATGTGTAGAAAGCTCCTTTAAAACAAAGAACGAAATTATACTGAAATCGACAAATCTGGAAGAATATTATACCAACAGCATATCGAAAATCATAGCATTCGAAGCAAAGGGATCTCAGTGGGCACTCAACAAAATATTTAAATTAGAAGTGCGAATGAATAAATATGTACCATTCAAGGGTAGTTCTTATGTTGATCTCCCAGAAAAAATCAAAACTAAGCAGGCAGTAATTAATGTTAAGAACGATGATCGAAAATGATTTTTGGTGTCTGTTCTATCTGCATTGCATCAAGTAAAAAAAGACCCTCAAAGAGTGAATAAATACGAAGCTTACGAACATGAGTTTAATGATGAACTTAAGGGTTTGGAATTTCCAATGAAATTGGATAACATACCAACCTTTGAGAAGAGAAGTGGAATTTATATTAATGTATACGCATACGAAGAAGAAGATGGCGGTAAGAAATATATAATCTGTCCATTAAAAATAACAAAAATAAGATGGATAAGCACATAAACCTACTCTATATCAAAGACGAAAAGAACGACCACTACTGCTGGGTAAAAAGTCTTTCGAGACTTGTCGCATCACAAGTAACAAAAAATGGTTACGAAATATTTATTTATGATAGAGGTTTGCAACATTTCTACTCTGTAAATAAGCTAAAAGATCACGAACAAGACTGTCGAGATCATGATGGTGTTAGAGTTGAACTACCATCTAAAAGAAAAAATGACATATTATGATTTAAAAACAAAAATCATTCTTTGAGAGTTCTGTTTGTGATATATGCTGATTTTGAATGTTTGTTGACTAAAATCGAAACTTGCCAACCAAAGCCCGACGAATGTTACACGAAACCATACCAAATACACGAGCCTATTAGCTTCTGTTACTATGTAAAATACGAACATGGATACTATAAACCACCTGTAACTTATGAAGGGCCTGATGCAACTACTGTGTTCGTTAAAATGCTAATGGAAGAAGCAACGTCTATTGGTTATATATACACATATGAAAAACCAATGCTTCCACTAACTCAGAAAGAACAAATTGTTTATGATACAGCTACCCATTGTCATATATGTGAAAAGCCTTTGAATGGTTATTCTGTGAGAGATCATGATCATCTTACGGGGAAATTTAGGGGAGCTGCACACAGAGATTGTAACTTATCGTATAGAAATCCATGTTTTGTCCCAGTGTTTATACACAATATATCTGGCTATGATACACATTTATTCATAAGAGATCTTGGCATCGATGAAAATAAGATTGATCTAATTCCCAACAATGAAGAAAAATATATTTCTTTTTGAAGCACATAGGTGGAAGTGTAAATCTTAGATTTATTGACTCAATTCAATTTATGGCTAGTAGTATCGATAAACTCTCTAGCAACTCTTCCAGAAGCCAATTCCGAGAAACGTGGAAGCATTTTTCCAATGAACTTCTTGACTTTGTTACAAGAAAAGGTGTTTACTCAAATGACTACATGAATAGTGCTGAAAAATTTTGTGAGACAGCACTTCCATTCAAAGATGCATTTTACAACAAACTCAATAAATGTGACATTACAGATGAAGATTGCGAATGTGCGAGAAAGGTGTGGGAAAAATTCAACATAAAATCTCTAAGAGAATACACAGAACTCTATAACAAATCTGATGTGTTGATATTGTCTGATATAATGGAAAATTTTAGAGATGTGTGTCTCAAAAAATATAAGCTAGATCCAGCATGGTATTTCACAGCCCCAGGGTTAGCGCGGGATGCTATGCTCAAACACACTAAAAAAAACTAGAATTATTAACAGATTATGATATGATTTTGATGATAGAAAAAGGTGTTCGTGGTGGAATTTCACAATGTTGTAAGCGATATGCTAAAGCAAATAATAAATACATGAATGCTTATGACAGCACAAAGGAAATATTTTATCTTATATATCTGGATGCCAATAACTTATATGGATGGGCTATGAGTCAGTATTTGCCCTATGGTGGGTTTAAGTGGGGAAATACAAATATAGATGTAACAAAAATAGAAGATGATGCTAGAAAAGGTTATATATTGGAAGTTGATTTGGAATACCCACATGAACTACACGATCTCCACAAAGATCTGCCATTGGTACCAGAGAATAATATACCGGAAGGTTCAAAAAACCCCAAACTCTGACTAGTCTGGATGGTAAAGAAAAATATGTATTGCACTATGTAAATCTTAAGCAATATCTATCTCTCAGAGTTGAAAAGATCCATAGAGTTCTGGAGTTTGATCAATCAGATTGCCTCAAGTCCTATATTGATCTAAACATAAATATACCAACAAAGTCTACAAATGACTTTGAGAAAGATTTATACAAGCTAATGAACAATTCTGTTTTTGGAAAAACAATGGAGAGTATTAGAAAAAGAGTCTATATACGGTTGTGCACAAGTTCTAAGCAAATAGATAAACTAGTGGCTAAACCAAACTTTAAAGATAGGACTATATTTACTAACTCTTTGGTTGCAGTTCATTTGAATAAAACAAAACTGTGCTTTAACAAACCCATTTATGTTGGATTGAGAATACTTGATCTATCGAAAGTCTTAATGAATGATTCTTACTATAATATAATGAAGCAAAAGTATGGGGAAAATATTGAAATGTGCTACCAAGATACTGATTCGTACGTCTATTATATAAAAACACCAGACTTCTAAAGTGACATGAAAGAAATGGTCGACAATTTTGATACTTCTGACTATAGAAATGATAACCGAAATGGTATACCATTAGTTAACAAAAAGATTATTGGCAAAATGAAAGATGAATGTAATGGAAAAATAATGGAAGAATCTATTGGTTTGAAATCGAAAATTTATGCAATTAATGTGGAGGGTGGTGTAAAGAAAAGAGCAAAGGGTGTGTTAAAAACACTGTAGTCAGAAATGAGATTAGTTTTAGTGACTACAAAAAGTGTTTGTTTGGTAAAAAAGTGTTGTACAAAAGTATGAATCTTATTAGAAGTAAGAAACATGAACTCTGTACGATTGAGATGAGAAAAAAAGCATTAAGTCCCAAAGATGATAAAAGATTTATTCTTAAAGATGGCATTTATACACTACCATGGGGACACTACAAAATTGAAAAAGAGTAACACTATGAAAGAGCAGTTGCCAAGCGCAAGTCGCCTTATCGCTGATATTGTATGCATAAAATCGTTCGCAAGTTTAAAGGAAAGCATAACAAAATGCAATCGTCAACAACAAGCTCGTCTACGATCGTAAAGAGGTGTATTGACGAAGCAGGCAA